ATACACGTTAGCTGCAGGTAGAAAACCCTCAGATATTGTGCCGTAATACAAAGGACAAGAAAAAATACAACTGTAGCACGCTGGCTGAGTCCAGAGTAACGGATGGACATCGTTCCACAGAGCTAACGGCCGACTATTGTGCCGCAAAAAGTTATGTTATGCCTAACGCATGCGATCGTGATTGAAGGGGAGGCTAAGCAGGAAGGGGATGTACAAAGTAACTCACCACACAAACGCCACGGGGGCCGCCTCCTAGCCATATCAGCAAGTGTGTCCAATCAAACGTGTTCATCGTCCTTAGGACCCCAACCAGGCAGTCAGGATGCACCAAAGGACGCCAACTTCGAAGTAAGGGTTTTCATTTCTCTCGAGCAATTCCTCGCTTGGCTTCCTCCCATCCACTTCCAACCGCGCCCCCGGCGCGCAAACAATGCACGTCGCGGGTGTCGGTTTGCTGGCATGCACAACACGTGGCCCAACCATCAGAGCCTGGTGCATGATATAATGATGCTGATCGGTTCACTGGTTCGTCTTTCACCATTTACGCCACGCCGAACACGCTCATAGCTCAAGCGGTGCTCCCAGCTGCGAATTCAGAGATGAGTGAACCCGACGAGCCCCATTATATCTGTCGACCTGATAGGCCAGATTTAACAAGCACATAGGAGAGCTGAACGGACGGCTGCGTTATAAACTCTGCCCTTCAGTGCGAGAGTAATGTCGCGTCTGCGCCACAGGTGGCTTAGATAAGCAAAAGCACCTCGAGCTTTTGCTATACGATTCGTAAGCTCATCTTCGATCCCTCGGGCCTAACATAGCTGACCAGGTACTTGAATTATTGAACGACTTCTAGCAGATCACCACAAAGCGTTAGCGCAGGGGTGGGTCCCTGCGCATCTTGGAAAAGTACTTTGCATTTCGATAGAGCAAAGCATAGCCCAAAACGATTGACAGCCAGCGCTAATCTGTCCAGGGCTGTTTGGAATGTTTGGGAGCTGTCACAGATTAGGGCAATATCGTCCGCGTTCTCAAGTTCAAGAAGTCACTCACCAGGAAGTAGCGCCACAACTTCTAGGTCGTGTGCAGTGTACGCTGTTTCCATGACTTCATCAATAGCGAAGTTAAAGAGGGAAGGTGACAGTGGGCAACCTTGTCTCCCACCGCTGGTGATACGGAAGAGTGGCGACAGTTTGCCATCAGCCGTAGGTCAAATGCGGAACAAAATTTGACGGTCGGACTGCAGTTACATGAGTGTGTAAGACTCTCATAAGTGGTAGACTGAAAGAAAATTTAGCAAATGAGTGATGGAAAATGTCTTTCATACTCAGGGTCGTAGTGGTGGAAGTGCTGATGGTCCAGCTCGATTTCGGGCGTATCAGCCCACGCCGGTTTAAGACCGGATGCCAGGCACTCGACAGCCCTAATCATCCATTCTATTTATGTACTTATTAGCTTCGAAGAATTTCACAGCTTCAGCAGTTAGCCTTTGCGGAGTGACCACAATCTGGTTCTGATAACCTTGATAATTTTTAAGTCATTTTCATGCCCATTGTCTAGCGCATGCACTGCTAATGTTGGGTATCTGAGCAGAGCTCTTTTCTCGGAGGTCATGATTTGTACCGCCTAAGTACTGAAATTACTATGAATAGTTCCTTCGTTGTTCGACGTGTAGACACTTCAGTAAACCCAACAGATAGGTTAAGCAGTTATTCGCCTAGCATGCCGAAATGGTGACTTCCCGATAGATTTCAAACATAGGCAAGTATATGGAATTGACAGTCAATTTTCCTGTTAGTGATCCGCTTCCCTGGACCGTAGAGAAGTATGGTGCAAGCAGTAAATTTCACTGTACCTGACACAAAGTTGTTGGCCACTGAAGTCAGTACAAATGAACACACTATTATATATTAACATTACTTGATTTATGGCGACATAATAATAATTATGAAGTAGGGCAGTGAAAGCCGCAAGGAAGCTGTCTCTCCGATGCCGCCTTATCTTTGCACGATAGTCGGCTGTTTGTGACGGTATGTTGCTATACACGGTTTTGGCGCCTTTATCCTTAACGTTTGTTTAATGCGTGAAGGCTTCCAGTTAAGTCCCCCTTCTCTGCCTCCTCTTCTTATTTATTCCATAGGTCATCATAGTTGAGTGGCAGCGAAGCATCATTTCAACTGGTTGGTGTACTGCTATTGTTGATAACGATTTATGGCCATCTCTGCACTGAATCCATTGACAAAGGAAAAGTTGGCATGTGCGAACGACTCACTGGAGCAAACACAAAACACCATGTTGAATGGATTGCCAAGAGATTTACAAAGCTAAGGCACTAAATTCACAGCTAAAAATTAACTACTTCACATCGCTCTTAGTAAAAAGATTAGAAAATAATCACTGGAATTAACGACCTAGCTATATTAAGGCAGCCAAACTAACTTCTCTGCGCATTTACTTAGCATTTGGGTCTGTGCATCTTTCTAAGTGGGTTCCGTGCATGCTATCGAGGTAGTGGAAAAATGATGCCACACAATGTGATGCCGATTGTTTAACATCATTTCTATTCAGCAGGGCTCTTGAGTGGCACAATGGATCTTGTCCTCCAAGTAACTATTGTTGAATACGTTGAATGTAGCATGTGGCTCTTCCGTTGTACTGAGGATGAATTTTCCCTAGCCTGTTCCAGTATGATGTAATTTTAGAAAGATATTGCATTGAAAACATCTGTTTCCAAAGTGGCTTCAGTTGGAAGCACATGATAAATTCGATGAAACTAACGCTCAATTTCCATCATACTTTCACTCTCAACCTGCAAAAGCAATTCACTTCTAAAAGTCGGAATACGGACTGCTGATGTAATAGCTTTTATATCTGAGAATGGATTATAAACATGGGTTAAATGATGCAGCAATAAACACTTTTCGGCAATAGCACCACCTAATCGGAAATCTTATGTGGAATGTGACCACATCGACCTTAGTGATTCAATAACATAATGCAAATGTAACGTGTGAGGTAGTAACGCATTTTATGAAGCGCGACACAGTCTTGATAGATATACATGAGACCATGTCAAACTTCGTGGCTTAACTTTAATCCCAGTACTGCAGTTCATCTGCATCTTGGGACGGATAGCTGTTCAGAGAAGAACACGCATTTAATGCCATTCACTTTAACTAGATGTACGGGGTGTATGAAGAAACACAAGCCAAGAATTTCAGTGGACAGATCATAATGTAGTGGTTACGCGCTTAGAAGCTATAAGCTATTTATATGACATGCTTGCAGTCAAAACGGTGTTTTATAGCTAGGATAGCACGTTAACGGTAAACACGTCAGTTAACGGGTAAACGGGTGAAAATGGTAATCTCAAATTTTGAGTGAAATTGCTGATCAAGCCTTCATTAGAGACAGTGGGTTGGATAGAAGATTTGTGTTCCAGCATAGCACTAATCTGCCAATTTAGCTCCGTTTGAACTCTTCAGGTATGGATACAACAACCAGAAATACGACAATGCGAATACCACAAATTTATCGACACCACCATCCGCAACAATTAGCTTGATCATATAAGAGTAAAATACTTGAAGACTGACGGATTTCAAGATATATATATATATATATATATATATATGTATATATATATCGCCTCAGGTTTAAACGTTAACTAACCGAAAATCATATTGGTTGCTTATAATTGTACCTGCGATCTTCCAACACTAGAGGAATATGACTGTCATTCTTACATTTAATCCATTCTACTGCTCCTTCGAAGTGTTATTGCTCAGGGGGGTTATTGTTTCTCCATTTAATCCAACCATTCAATCTATCCATAAACAACTGTGAACAAATGCCTGCTCGTAACATTGTAATGTGAACCAGCGACCTTTGATATGTCAACTGATATTGCATTTTGAATAATTAAGTGGAAGCCATTTAGAAACACTTGTAAGCGCTACGCTTCAGCTTAACAGACCGATGATATTTTCACTTGAGTGACACCAGTATCTGCTGGCTAGATGTCTAACTGGTGCTCAGCGAAAGTACAAGTCGCACTAACATCTGAATGCGTCTCGCTAACCTTCCCACTTGACAAATGAGTCTTATTATATTTCTTCTTATGTGACATCGTGGCTTATTGCGAGTTTCAATATGAGGTCAATGTATCCCATCTCAAGTGCCTAGTACTGCTGCTGCCTTCAGGTAAGCGCACTCAGATGCAGACAAGTCATCAAGGTTGATTCCGGAACAGCGGCAACATGGTGTGAAATGTGAATCGAAATGATTGGGTACAGGTAACCTTCTAGGTACTGATGAATTGGTCGAGATATGCTACCGGTCAGAACGAATGACCAGGAGGAACTAAATAGTAACACAAGTCGGACTGCCTGGTGGTTCCACATGCCTGTTAATTCTCGCTTACCTCGAAAAAGAGACGAGCATAACTGGCTCTGGTTTACCCTCCGACACGGATAGCCTGCAGGTAATATAGGAGCGGCATTCACAGCACACACCAACAATAAGTCATCACTGTTCTACTATGCTTCTACTTATTCATTAAAGTGAGCACAGTTATGATTCCCGTTCTTTCACCGCGGACTTATAAAATCGGTGGGCTTTATCACACTGTTTCCCTACTAACTTGTAAACTTGCTTACTCCATCGCGGTTATCTTCTTTTTGTCATTTTTATTCCATCGCTAATGTAAAAATCACAAGCATATTTGCTAGTTAGAAAATGACTAACTACTGAGTATCTTGTTGTATTGCGCCACATTAGAGGAGCCGTGGTTTTCACCCACAGCCTACATGTGCTGATGATGCTTGCACACCAAATAACGGTGGATTTGGGGGTGGGGGGGGGGGTTACGTGCGGTGAAGCATTCCACAATGACTAACATTTCCTACGGCAGTGAACGTGCTACCTCGTCTCGTTGATGGATTAAGCCATCCATGTTAGCCAGCATGAGAGATGAAGGAACAGTCAGACTACGGCAGACTTACCGGCTTCACGTCTCTGACTATAAAGCCCTTCCACTTGCGACAGAAATTGCTGGCTTCCAATAGTCCCATCTCCTCTGGGCCGAAAATATAACGGAGCGAGTGATTGGGCATTTGATTTCGGACGGCTACAATGAATACGCAAATAATCCGGCCGTGACTTTCAATTCAAGAGGTTGAATAAGACAAAAACACGTAATACTCAGGACCAAAGAGAAATGGAAGTCCCAATTTATTGGGTATGTTATGTACCGAATTTCGGTGAACCCAAGCGAATTCCCGGGATCACGTTGGTCTCCCTTCAACAGTGTACTTCACGATCGAGTTGCCACGGCAGCCAGCATCCTGAAGCAAAAAGTGGCATTTTAGTCAGTTATGACACTGGGTTGTACAAGATGTTTTGTGATGGTGGTTAGAAATTCTTTTTTGGCATTGTATTTACAGCTGTAGATTCTAATTCTTACCAGAGGCGTGGCAAGAGAGGGCGGGTGAGGAACGGTCCTTCCGGGGTGGCATGGGACATGAGACGACATTTTGCATACCGTTGAAGGTTCGACACCAAATAGAAGGGGCAAAATTTCTAGATAAGCTGAGAGCTGAATGCTTTAATCTTACTCTGTATGACCAACAAAACCTTTGCGCCATGCCCCACCTAGGTCAACATACTTCCCAGGCATCCTTTTACTTGTCCGATCGTGGTCACTATCATCACAGCTACTTCAGTGCCCCAAACGACCATTCATTTCATCGAAAACTAATATGCGCTTTACCCTGAGCAGATTGTGTGGCCTTCACGCGCCTATCTTGTCCTCAGTTAGGGCGAAAATCTTACCACCGCCCGGGCGGCAAAATTAGTTACTACGCTACTGCTTCTTAGATATACTCTTCACCTTAGCGGTGGTGCACTTGCAGTTGTGACTTGCTTTTCACGAGTGATGTGGGAGAGCTGATATGGTCTAGCACAGGCATGTTAAAAATGAGGCCCTTCTCAAACACGCCAGCGGTCCGCACAAAGGATGACAACATGTGTGACCTACACAGCTCATGTGGGGTCGTCAGATTGATATGCTTGATCAGACGGAATGAAACAGTTAAGTAAGTAGGATGATCGGGGCTTTCAGTACAAACAAATCCTCGTGCTAACATCACTGAATGTTTCTCGACCAGCATTGCACAGTAAGATGCCTGCAAAGCTGCAGGGAAGAGAGCAATCCCATTTAACGACATTTGAACCGGAGCCAAGTATTAGTGTAACCGCAGACTCCTCGATGGAGAGACGGAAACATTTTGGGGTTGTTCCGAGTAAAAGGAAAACCACAAAATACATACTTTTTGGGGATGGTTATTCAACTATTTTTTCTATAAGCCCAGCTCAGAAATTAATAGTTGTACAACAATGAATATTTTTTAATTTGCCCTTTGTGTTTTGACTTAATTCCACACAAACTTGGCTGAACCGATGTAAACCACGTAATTTTCTCCACGATGTTTGATGCTACATATTCACATACGGCTTATGTCAGTTGGTGGACACCTCATTTCGTATAGCGGTTTAAGCGCATACTGCTGGAAAGTTGGGGTAAAACAGAGGTCGAGCGATTTCCACTCCCGTTAGAATTGTCGATAAGTTTACCGTTTAAATAAACCCAATCTGGGTTTATTTACGATGAGCATTTATTGTACGGACGCTTAGTCGAATACCTTGATGAAAGACCGTGCAATGGTGAAACACATCGGATTTGATTTGCTTGTTGGTCTCAAACCAGCAAAGATTATCTCAAAGGGTACCAGTAGATTTTTGAACTTCAAATAAACTGTAGTTGACACAGTAGAAAGTCAAACGCACTTCTTTCCTGGATGTTGCGGATCGCGTTACGTGGTACCTAATTACGAGAAACAGTGACCCAACGTACGATAATAGCCAGGGTCGGGAACTTTAAGAGCTTTTTACTTTCTGGCTTACAGACGCGTGAAATTTTACGAATTAAATACGCATACCAACTTGATTCTGTGACATCTTGTGCTCTCATTTTCCACAAGTAGGCAATCCAGAAAATCAAAATTTTAATTCACCAAGCTGGATACTCATATACTTTTCATTCTGGAACTGTTCTATACTTCAATTCAAAGTCAATGTTGAAGTTAAAATAAGCTTTATGAACCCTAATGGGTTCATTTTAAGCATTTACACCATCATTGCGGACACCTGGATGATAATATCAATATACATGTTGGGGGATAAAAATGGGAAAATGCACAACTGTTAATCCAACAACTGATCACGCAGCCTGTTAGTGAGTTTCGCTGGTTCCACAAGCAAACGTGAGAGATAAAGCAAAACAGTATTACGATACGATGACGCGTGGGAGAATAAAATTCGGAATTTCGAACGAGTAGAAAAGAAAGAGAGCGTTTTGGAAAGATCAGTGTGAAGTGGATGAAATCGGTCAGTTAATATCTTAGAAGAAAAAGCATTTCAGGCATCAAGGTGTCTAGGAACGATCAAAACAACTAAGGAATCTCTAGACAAGTCGCTGCACCTAGAAATGTGGTTTATGTATCGCACCAATAAGATTTAGTCTTTCTGAAGCAGTCCAATGAAAATGACAGGAGTGCAGTATAGCCAATGGGGAATAATAAAAAAGGTCACAAACCTGGATATTAAAGTACCAGGTACTGAAAGCACCTTAAGTCTGAGGGCATAAAACGAAAGCTTTCTTTCAGAAAAGTTTTACAGACGTGCATTTACCAAGAAAAACTCTTGGATAAAAAACACCGAGATACTTAAAGGTGGAAGGGCTGGCTATGGGATTTTCATCCACAATAACTGTGGGGGCCTGAGTCAAATGCCAACTCTACTAAAGACAAACTATTGGGCGACCTGCGACACTGGGAACCGTTCTGTCAAGCAATGAGAATCCAGGTCAAACAGGCTGGTTTGTTTCTTATCGTCTACCACCCAAACGCAGTTCACTATGTCCAGAAAAGGCAACTTCAGGCTGACATTTCAGTGGGGTGACGAAGCGGAGACTGCTCCCTTGTAAGCCCACCGTCTTCATGATTCGTCATGCTGCGTTCCTGGACATTGACTGAAGTGAGCCTGGGCAATTGAAGCAAAACCCATAGTGTCCCACAAATCCAGTCTTCCGACAAGTCTTAAACTCGAGCTCATGACTTGGAAGTGTGGCGTTACATTGACGGAGCCTCTCTCTCTCTCATCACAATTAGATTGCGAACTCAAGCTCAAAGTTACCATTATCACCTAACCATAAATGATATTGTCCAAGGGTGTTGAAATTCATGCTATACTTCAAACAAATGATCGAAAGGAGCTCGGAAGTTGGCACAAGTTACGTATCAAATTGCCATCAGAGATACTTCTAAAGGAGGTCAAAGCTAAGTTACCATTGTCTGCGGGAACACGCACCAGCGAGAATTTGTCGCGAGCCCCGCTGTCTGCATTACAATTACTCAGCCATCAAACGAGGAGGAAACAAGCATACAGCCGCAATTCGCATCTGAAGGAGTAAGTAGCGGATGCTCTACGCAGCAACGCGAAGCTACCCCGGAAGTCAGTAAAAAAGTACTTCCAAAAATCGATTGTCGACCGTCCCTACAAAGGTCGGTTTAACTTCGCTGGAAAGTTGGTATATTTAGATACGCTTCAAGCATCGGTTGCTTTTTGCTAAATTGGTTGAACTTCGATTTCTTAATGCTTCAATTTTTTGGGACCTCGTAATGGCAACCAAAACATGGCTGAGCGACGTGACTGCTCCCCCTTCCGAAGGTATAAAGGTGAAACAAACTATGGACGGTGTCATAATCCTCCTAAACTCCAAACAAGAATACACACCCTTGTGCTAATGCAAATCCCTTAGTGTTTCATGTGTTTCACTCATACTTTTACTGACACTGACACTGTTATTTTCACCCCAACCATCCTACATGGCTTCTCAGGCATTTGCTGTTATGAACGTCATACACCATTGCTGTACCGTACAATCTTTCGTTCCGACTAGTTGAGTCATTTGGTATTAGGACTAGTGTACCGAAAACTTTTCAATTACATACTTAAGTCGATTGTGATCCGTTCGCTGGGCACTTGTAAGGAAACAGTAATTGTCTCTGTCTTCGAATACGCTTGCACCTACCGAAGCAAGACAAAAATTCAGAGATGAAAGCCAAGGACGGAATCAAAACCATCAAATGAAGTGAGTCGTTTGCATTCCTAACCAGAACATAGTTTAGCTACATTAAGTCGCGATTAATTGTGCTCTTGAACCGTTAACATTCTTCTGCCTCATTATATTGTAGTCATCCGATCACTTGGCGTTGTTGGACTTCGGAATACACAAGCCCCCAAACTCCAATTCATTCGGCGTCTTTCACCTACTACGAAATCGAAGACTCAGTTCATCTATGCATTAAGCCGGCAATGTAATTGCTCAAGAGTGCGATTATAAGTTCCGATTGTTTTTCGATAAATGCCATGCACGACCCAACCTTGCTGATTCTCTGAATAGCCTCGTTCCCAAGTGTCTTCATCCTACATCTTAATATCTATTTTCTCAAAGAAACTAAAAGTGAATACCAGTCATTTTATATTTATGTCTTGAAGTACCGAACGTGTGTTTGCACTGTGACATGAAATAATGATTGAATTATGGCTTGCTTTGAAGCAAAGCTCTGCCACTTCAACCACTAAGACCGCATCCGAAGTGGAGGGATTCGGAGTTGCTCTTTCCCTACTCTGCATTTTATACCATCCTCCTTTATCTCTACTCATTCTTTTTGGGACCAAGGGATAGCTATTAATCAGTGCGATTACTTTTCTGTGCGTAAAGATTACGAACGGCTAACAGAGCATGTAATATGAGAGACCTTCGAGTGGAATTCACCGTTAGACCGAATGAGACATGGGCTCTACGCACACTGATGACCGATAACTTCACTCGAATCCCGACTCTAAGAAACTGCTAACCGTTTCGGTGCAAACTGGGGCAAGCTGACTAACGCGCAGTGGTAGGCTCCAGCAGCTTTACTGAGAGTCGTGTGGACTGGTCTCTACCTTAAGGGTGTGCATGTCGGACATCCGGCGTCGGTCATGAAAGAATTAGAAGCCCGTAACTGATGCTCATACCACAGCGGCGTGTGATGCATCAGCATATATAGTCGAGGCGTTGGAATGTCATCGAACGGATGTATTTCTACATAAATGATAGGTGTGTCAGTCAGTTCAGAATTAATAGTGGTGCCCACTTGCACAAACTCTTGTGTAACCAAGGTACTTTCTCAAGACTGTGAGATCTTAGGAACAAACTGTGGATGGTGCTACGAAAGCCACAAGACCCAGCGCCGAGAGTTAGATGAATCCGGAAAGATCACAGGCAACCACTACAAGCTTCGTTGATGATGTGAATTGCTGCGTGAGAGGGATAAATCTTTGTTGTTGTGAACATTTTATCTCCATTCCGCATGTTTCAGCTGACCGGATGGACTAGTCTCTAAAGTTTGCCATAATGTTATGTCGAATAACGTCGTTTACTTGTCACATAAGCAATTGCCAAACACTTTATGCAGCTTCTGCCTAGTTCCGCTGTTTTTAATTCAACTTGCATCAAGTCGCAGTGTTATAGCGGAGGTAAGAATACGCGACTTCTCCAGTTGCTTTGTGAGTTTCGCCTCACTCACTCCTACTCACGCTGCGCTCCCTTCCGATTCCTCGCATACGTTCACTTTTTCCTCACTTTTGTGATTATCTTGTATGGACACTGAAGCTTACCCTTATTCACTTTTACTTTGTGTATTTGGTTCGTTCGTGAGGCAACTTATCGATCCCCCACTTTGTGAACTGTTCAACATTGACTGATCGAATGCCAGCCTTTCCACATAGCCCATGATATGCCCTAATTTGAATAATGTGATTGAGTTGCACAGACAGACGCTTGGCGGCAGGTTTGGCTTCCTGGGGGAACATGGTTTGTTGCTCGGTTGTTGGTGTTCTCAATACCGTTAGTGGGTGGAAGCAGTCGTGGGGCTCCGACAAAACACCCAGTAAGTAGAGAGTTGTGGCTATTGGTTGACTCCGGAATATGTCTAACATCCTGGAAAATTTGTCACTAGGTAGCAAGTTGCCTAAAACGGCACATGCTTAAAGTGGGAAGGTACTGTTCCTGGTTGACCAATTCCTTTGCACTTAACTGGCGTGTGTGTGGGTGGGGTTGTAATGACACTGTAACAGAACTTTGTCTGATGGCCGGCTAAGTCTATCTCGCCCTATTTGTAGATGGTTATCTCAGAGTTAATTCAGTCGGGAATGCACCATGCTACTTAGGCGCTACAGGACTACAACAGTCTCACAGTCACTGAACCTTGCAGTTCCACCTGCTGTAGACTTTAGTTCAATTATCCGATAACTGACGCTTCCTGTCATTAGTACTGAGAGTAGATGGAAACATACTCGTCTTAATCTCCAATTGTTAACTGTGCTCCAGAGAAAAACAGAAAGCGCACATGTGCGCCCAAAGTGGAATTTGCGAATTAGCTTTGCATCACCTATGGGCTCATGGAACGAGGCGTGGTCTGAGCCAGTAGTGCGAAACATAAGGAACGTATGTAACGAGTCATTAACTCCGCACTGTACGAGAAGCCACGAAAGAAAATAGTTAGAAAGGATAATTGTAATGTATTCAGGTACTACTGATTCTAGAAGTTAAATAAGCTACAGAGTAGAAACAATGACCAAATTTTCAACATCCGTGCAACGGACAAAATAGTCAAATCGTAGCAGCAGACTCATCCGCAGAACATTTGGGGTAAGACAACTTGGGTCGCAGAGTAAAATCGCGCTAATGCTCTGAATAAACAACAACTAATGTATGGGAATTTGTACGTCTGAAGTATGCGAAACTGAATAATTATGCGAAATAGTGATATGCTTGATAATGCTGACGCTGACTTCACTGGAAAATATTCCGGATTGTCTCAAAACCAAAGTTTGTACGGACAGTACAACCCATAAGTTAGAAATACAGTGCGAACCATGAAAAAAGAGACAACAGTAAATTAATTGGAAACTGCAAATTTTTATAAGTTGACTCATCATTTATTAACAGGCTTAGTGACCAAAATAGTCTGGATCATAGCCGCAGCGTCCAAGATTTATGACGGCTCTGAGAGCCTGCCGATGAAAAGCGCCAGCACTTGTCATGTGTTCGTACGTTTCGAGCTAGCTTGGTGACTGCCGTTTAACCACCTGCTGAATGTGGCTAGCTGCGCACAAAATGACCGCTTACCGAAAATTTTCCGTAGTGATGAAACCCACTGAATTTGGCACCGTTCCATTGGCTGCACTTTCTAAGTAAAGCAATTAGTGGTCTGCTTGACCCTTTTATCAAGAACTGGGTATCGGAAGAATGGATTTTCTCATCGAATGCAGCTAAGCCGGACATGTCCTCTACCAAAAACGTCAGCCATGAGACAACATGTTTCCAGTCATGAAAGTATAGACAAATGAACAGGACGACGTGTGGTTTACATCACTTCGGCTTAATGTACCGGAAATTTGTGCGCCACCATTGCTCAATATTGCACATAAACCCAGCAAGGTTACTAGATGACCATATTTTTTACACAAGTAACGAACCTCACAGTCAGCTGTGCTCGAATAGTATGACACATAGTATGACACACTAACTCAGTTAGACATTAAAAGAAATTCCGTAAGTTTGGACCGGCTAATCTGTAGTACTTGTAGTGTGAATGGATTGTGATGCGCAATCGCATTACAGTCTGCAATTCGCTTGGAATTAGATCTTGATCTATTCGACCACTGTAACTGTAACTGAGAAAGCAGTTTGGTATTGGGTGTTGCCCGCTAGAAAACGCTGAACTACCCGACAGGTGGTGGAGTGTTGTGTTTTGGGATGAGCAACACCCAAGTTCCGTAAGACTTGATTTTGTATTTGTCAATCTTATCAGAAGAAGGGTTTCAGTGGTATATCCGATGATTGCGTAACCTACGTGATGGTGTGGGATAGAGAGAAACATCGGATGGTTTGTAGGTGTCTCTAACACCAAGTGCCTTTGCAATACTGTAGCTTATAAGTGATAAAAACTGAAAAAATTCTGAATTCACAATATCATTCTCTTAAAACTTGTGTAATGAAAGCCAACTCACTGGCGATAAAAGGTAGATACTTATTGTTCTCAGAATTGCTTGATCACACAGTCATCTGGTGGTTTCTTTCATTACTCACCTACTAGTATTTCTAATCCACTTCAATACCCTAGACTATCACTTCCTGCATTCATCTTCATTCACAAAGGAAACCAGGTGAACATAATTACTCTGTGCATCGCGTTGCATACAGTGCTACCGAAAACGCATGGCACAAATCTGTGCGAACTCACTTGTAGTTTCATTTGCTTTCGCAAGGCACCTGAGCATGGTCAGAGTGTGTAAAAGGTAATACAGGTGAAGCATCATTCGACGGTCCAGCAGGATGAGAATATGCCCCGGTTTACTTCAGTGCTTTATTCAACGAGGACATGTAACGATAAGTTCCAGAGATCCGAACTGTTGCAATTTAAAGTTACTATACCCTACAGCTACTGAAGCACTGTGGCAGGGTGGGCTTTTCACGCACGTGCGATCCACCTACAATTTATGACATTGGAGAATCGCAACTGAACAGTATTTTGCGACTAGCGAAATGAAAGCATACATTTTATCGATCGAGAGAGGGGTCGACCTCCCTGAGAATTTTTTAGATTATGGTTTTCCTCTCAGGAACTGATCAATACTGGCCAAAATGTAGTGAAGAAAATGTTAAATGACTGCCAGGGGATAATTAATCGTCTTAAGTCATACGATCCTTAGGAACGTGGTTATAGCTTGTTTGCTTACCGTGAAGAAGACTGAGTTAGTTCCTGTAGTCTGAAGAGTAATGTTGTTCGAATAATGGCATTAAGGGGCCCTGCATTCATGAGTTGTCTTTGCGCAACCGCCATCAGCTGCTTTATGCGTCAAGTTGCCAATTTGAGTAACCTCCTGGCTAAAACGTGCAGGTGTGAATCTCATTATTTCTGAATGATTCGTTCTTAAAACTAGTGACGCATTTAGTCTGAGTATTGTTACAGTGGAGAAAATGAAACCGTTCTAGTTTGAATGTGTATCTGCAAATTGTGGCATTTGGTAGTGCTTCAATACCCTTGGATAACTCGACGACCTTTTGTAGCTATCTCACAAGGCTAGATTACGCTTGAATCCATATGCGAATTTATGACATCCTAGCTAAATCCATGTTCACATAGCTAATATGCTCTCATTTTGCTTTCAAGTACTATCAAACTGGGTTGCAAATCGGTTTGCAGCCATTAGTACATCATTGTCGCTACAGAAATTTACTGTTGATAAAGGTTTGTTTGTGCTGTTGGGAGGAAAAACAAATTAGAAATTTTATTCACGATTCTTTGATGAATACACTTGTTTTAGCTTTGTCAGATTGTTATAAATATCATCTGCATAGCTCCCATAGCCTGGTAGAAAAATCTCCGGCATTGTGTTAGGGTATTTCGTATACATTTTGACAAATATTGGTGCGAATGCAGCGTCATTCAGTCCTACATACATTGAGATTCGGTTAAAATAGATCGTCTTATACTGTGTGGAGGAAGTTATCTAAAGTACAGGGAGAGCGCGTTGAGTTGTGTGGGATTGAACTGCGTTTGTAGAAACTAAATGCATCAAAGTAATGCGGCTGATAATTTTTGAAAGGAAATTTATTTGCTCCTCTACTGGACGGTAGCGCGTTCCCAAGAAATTAATGCCAGATTGCGTCCACGCATCACTCAACTACGCTACAGTTTATATGCTTGGAAAACCCTACTTATGTCTTACTTGACTAGACTAATCATGGCACAACTTTGAGAATGTACAACCATGCGTTGGCATTTGGCATGGTGCATCGAAACGACTCTAACTTAGGATCATTCTTGTTCCGTATGCTTTCGGTTCAACTGTGTGTCATTCAGCCGGGCCTTATCTCCGGCTAGTGCAATAGTGTGATCCCTCGTCGTCTATTCAGAGACTAGGACTCGTAGTCCCGATTAGGCACTGTGTATATTCCATTCAGCTACTTTGCGTGTGGGGAAAATTTCGGCACTACTATTTTGTTTGTTTAAGTACAGTTTCACAACACATCCAAACAGAAAGGTTTAGTTCACTTTAAGCACTAGGTGTTGGAGATCATCTTTTCATGGCAGAAAGTACTTGGCTGCTCAACCCAACCAGAAGATTACATACATCCCGACAATATTTCAGTGAGACTTATGTAATCTGAATTCGAGTTACACCAGGCTGTTGCCAGTCCAAAAAATACATCATCATATCACACTTTCCTGGAAGTTAGATTACGTGGATACCTGTACGTGGAGTAGACCATTCGCATATTGTTCAGTTGGTGCTGTCATGCGTCGGTTTTGTAGAATAGCGATGTACGACGATTAGGTCTATTGTCTTGATTATGACGTCAAAAAAGCGAAACTAATCACTAAAGAAGGATTTCCTACTGAATAGGAAGCGGCGTACGCTAAGTAATACCATTTTCCTCGTGAGTCTTAAACACTTGTAGCTATAAAGCTCATGGACTCTAGCCATCAGGTTGGCTAAAATTCCTAGGATGTTTGTGTTGATTTTGGTCCTTGGTGTTAGATCCATATGCTGATCTGCAGTTGGATACTTCTGATACCAATACTGTCGTCCGAGAGTGAATAGAACAGTTAGACAATCTGGTAAGCAACATGAGAGTGTAGAACTCAGTAAAGGCGAGCTCCTTAGGCAATGCGTACCGGAAGACATTGTACTCCACGACAGGGTAGAACCTAGTTGATCTGGTCGAGTAGAGACTGGAAACGTCGAACCCTAGGCCACTGGGATTTTGACCGAAATCGCTACACATTTAGCCACCAATACAGAACGCTCAATGTTAAGAACAACGATTATTGACGAAATAGGAAAGACAATTTGAAGCATTTTGTTATGTGAGTGGATTGTGACGTGGGTTCGAGGTCCGCTATCTTTACCTGTTGTGATCAAATATGCTCAAAACGCTTGTTGGAGTGCAACGTATTACAGAGAGCATCACCCAATAACCTTATTGTTCACCAGTTACAGTCCCATTGATCAAACTGACTAAGGTTCACTTCAGTGTGAATCGCAGTCCACATTGTGATTGCAAGTCGTATTCCTTCCACGGAGCGAATGATGCGAAAGGCCCACAATCAGGAAGTACTGAGTCTCCTTTAAATGAAATTTTTTTTATCTGAGCGTTGATCGAGTGCTGTTTGTGGATCTCAGGAAAAGCGATGATGAAGATGAATTCAACAAACCGACTGGCTACACAATCGCAAACACAAGTCTCATGTAGCGGTATCGCTTGTGTTTGGGAACTGTGCTCAAGTACGTTAGTTGTACTAAATAGATGAAATGGGACAGAATTATCCTCGAAGTAATGGGTATGTGAATTCGTAGCGAGCTGTGCTAGCTAGGATTTCCGTTGATCAAGGAGCATTTTCTAGGATTGCTAAGTGGGGTCGCCTCTGAAAGAAGAAGTTGACATGTTCCCCATTCGTGTCTAGTGTGATGATGTCTACTCTAGTACCACATATTAAAAGTGAAGCTCCGTGCAGTATTAGCTGAACTATCACATTTGATCCATCACCTGACAATCTGGGAGTGACAGTTGTGTGCTTGAGTGAGCTGTTGCAGGTTCTGCTAGTTAATACTTAGAAGAAAGATACTATTAGGAAATGTCTATCATGGAGTATGAGGGGGCTGTGAACCTTAGTTTTGCTTAACAGTGCTCTTCAGAACAAGAAGTACGACAAAGTGTGCTCAAAGACAGTAGCCAGATGATTGGGTCAAGGTAAGGCAAGTAAAACCATAAAGAAAGAAGTAGAATGGACTGTTCAAAATCAGCTAATGAATGGCAGTAAGTACGTCAGTTTGGCTTAGATATTGATTTGAAACCTTTCGGTTGTAGTTCAACGACTGTAGGAGCCTGATAAATGTTTTAAAGACTGGGTGCTAATCCAGCTCGGGCCTAAAAAATGCGATAAAATAAAAATATGTATGTACTGCAATTTATAACATTTACATCCAACTACCACACTTTTGTAATCAGTAGGCAAATCAAAACTGCCTTCACTTCTGAAAAGTAATTAACGGCTTACTTCTGCTAAGTTCGTTGTGCGGGTGAGTGGGCAACCCTGTTCTATGCATGGCAGTAACTTGCAAATCAGTGAGCAGTGTAGCGGCACATTTCCTCCATTAACTACGTCACGGCAATCGTAACCAGACCGCGTGGCCCATTGATATTAACCACATAGCGCCACTGTCGGGTTACGGGTCCTAGCTCAACGGAAGCCCGCTGGAAAGTGTACTACTGGCGATTTGCGGAAGGAGGAAACGGTCGTAAAGGGGTTTTCCGAGCCTGTGCTGGCTGGCTAATTGAGTCTAAAAACGACGAATTCCAACATATAAAACTTTAGATCTGTCAACGGTGAAATGTTGATCCCAAGCAGTGTCAAATCCAAAACAAAACAAAAATGTTTACTGCCTCACATAGGAAAAATGAATATGGCCAATTGCAGAGGTTAACCGGTAGGATTTGTTATATGTAGGAATAAGAAAACTGCGCCAGCTTTTTTCAATAGTTAGTATTATTCGGTTAAAGTAAATTGTTTTTTCGGAATTTTCAACTGTTCATGTGCTGCTCTCTGCTTGCACAGTTGTCTTTCGTGATATAATTCCCGGAGGAATGAGCTGAAATCAACCGAAAAGAATTAGTTGTCTATGGTGATTGCAACAGTATGTAAGCAGCGATAACTTAGCAAAAACTAAAGTGTACCAGCTCGTTTGGCTTTTCTAGCTACTCTTGAGGGAGCTTAGGTACGGCTCGTAGTAAGGACACGGAAGACACCTACTAGAACATCTTATATTATTGCTTTGCAGATAAGAATGAGTAATAATGCAAAACTGGAACAAGAAAACAAAGAATTATGGCGAATAACTGGCCGTCCTCTCTTCCTCAACTTTCATGTTGCCGTGATCTCGTCCAATGAATCAAGATGGAAAAAGGACAGCTACAAATGGTGGAGTAGAGGTTGCAAATATAAATCGCTTAGATTTTTTTCCAGTCGTGTTGCCGAGGTTATTTACTGCTAGGCGGGACTATGCGGTGATTGTGATTGCTCTACTTTTCACCAAAAGCATGTTCCACATACATCAAGGACAGCTACTCTAGTATTCCTTTGGTTGACATTAATGGCTACCTACGGTACGTCGCAGCACATGCATTTGGATCAGAAACCTCAGCAACAGCCAAAAGATTTGCAGGATCGTCAGGGAGCGAAGAAACATAGGGATCAATAAAATAGTGTGATCTGAAATAGCAACCACAGCTATGTGCCAGTAGCTAAATTAACGACTGTCAAATTAGTGGTGGTAAAAGAGACGTTACAGGCAAACTCAAAAGCAGTAGT